TAATCCAAAAATAAAGTATGCTGATGCTTTTAACGCTCTCCCTAACTGTTACTAAGGTGTAACAATTAAAATACAACAGTGACGACTACTTGAACGGATAGCTTTTTCATGAATTGTTGATTCAGGTCGATTTTGTAATTAGCTTTAACTGGCGATTCCTTGAAGCATGGGCCTGGAACAATGTCCACGTGATACAAGTATGGTGAATAAAGACGAACACAGAGCTACGTAAATCATTAAACGGCAACTTTTTTTTTGCTGTATGGATTGATAGATGACTTGTTCATTTATTTCGGCCTATTGATTTATTCTAAATTCACTGTTAAATTTTTTGTTAAAGAAAAATTTTTTGATAATTCATGAAAAAAAAAAGGTAAAGTAGGAAATTTAAATTATTTTTAAGAAATTTATATTTTCATTGGTTTGATCAATGGATGAGGCCATACTTTCTGCAATTTTAATTATCCGTAATTTATATTATCCGTGTAAAATTTAAATTATTAGTGAATGATAAAAAAAAAAGGTTAGGGGATTTCAAAGCATCACTGACTCAATCATAGAAATGGGAACAAGGCCATGTTCATTAAGTTGGGAAACAACCTTTAATTTTCCTATGCTTAGAGACCAGGCCTGGATACTCTCTGCTCCACTCCTCATCGCGCGTTCACTGTGCATCCAATGGTAGCCAAACTCACTCCTAATCAAAGAAAATAATTATAATTATTTTGGATATAATCATTATTTTCAAAAATAAAAACAAAGAATCCTAAACGCAGGGCCTTAATTAGAACCAATGATTTCGTTTACAAAATGGCACAACTTATATTGTGTTACATCCATCCAACGTATCCGTCGTGAACATATTTCTCTATTTTTTTTTTCTCTAGTTTTTTAGGGCTCCTTAATTTTTAGTTTGGGGGCTGCCACTGTTTATTTCAACTGGAACCGTTTACCTCTTATTTCTTACTATCTCTGTCGCCTTCATCTTTTTTTTTTTTTTTGTGCTTTTTAATCTTCTTTTTCTTCAATAAATTCAGATTGTTTTCACTACAGCAAACTCTGTCTTTTTTGTTTTTGTTATGGTTGGTTGATCTCCATATTGGAGTTTTTTTTCTTGTTCCTTCTTTGTGTAAGATAATCCCTTCTGTGTAATTGTGTAAGGGTTTATTGTTTAAATTAAATTATGATATCTGATTTTATTGATTTGGAGACTTTAGATCTTGACTTTGCAGATGTAGATTTTAGATCGATGAAGCCTTGATAGTGCGGTATATTCCTCCATTGAATGTTATTGACGCATAGCGGCGGAAAAACTCATCTGTATTTCGTCATATGTTGCCAAAAATTATTAGAGAAGCAATCCAGTTATAGAAGATCCAGATAAGTTATTATTTTGAAGTCCAAATCAATTAACGGACTAGAGTAACTGCTACGGAAAAATATATTTTTTTGCCAAAAGTCAACTCCAAAACGTAAAATCTAATATTTATATTTTTGTTAGTTTTATTTTATTATTCAAAATTGATTCGAATTCATTTATCTTCGTATCTAAAGATCAGCGAACCTATAGCTAGTAAAGTTCTATGTCTAATCTATATGTTTATTTTGTAATTCGTTAATATTACTATTAATGAATTACATTCTTAGAAATAAAAAAGCAAAAACAAAGGAAATCGCTTTTTTTTTTATATATTGTTAACACGTATTATTAATAAAATTTTGGCATGATCAATAGTAATTAATATTTTACACCCAATTACTTAAAAGTTTTTGACTTGCAAGGTTGTTCTAAAAGGTTAATGTTAATGATTAATTTAAGTGTTCAATAGAGCCATTAGATATTTGCATTGAGGATATTTAATTACTTTTTTTTTTTAGCACTGGGAAAGGGTTTTTTTTTAGTGATTAGGAAAATATTCGACTTGGATTTATTTTGTCAGGTCGTAATTTCACTTATCACTAGGTTATCCTTTAATCGCTTGGTTGTGCATGATATTAAATTCTTAACTTTAATAAGCTAATTAAGGTTCTAATTTGTTAGATTAGTATTGGAGGAAATACGATGTTTTTGTTGCTTTTCTTAAGGAAAACATGCTTTTAAATTTTTTTTTTTAAAAACAAAATCTTAAAATCGGAGCGAAAGTATTTTAAAAAAGTTGTTAGTATTCTAATGAGAAATAGATATATAGTAGGTATTATATATTATATAAAATATATATATATATATATATATATAAATACATTGAATTTTTTAAGACGTGGATGAAACCTAGAGTAGTACATCATTTTGCAAAGTCTATGTTTTGTACAATTGAACATCGTATCTTATAAATCTTTCACAGATAATGATGTGGGTTGGTTTCTAATGTTGTTATTATTTTTTTTCAAGTGGAGAAAGAAGAAGAAGTTCATACATAGCCTATAGCTGTAGGAATCACATATTGGCATGTGATCGAGTGAAATTGTAATCTTTTCGTTTTGACGCTCAAAGAGGTACAAAAATTTTTGGATGCCCAAAGCACCAATTATTACATTACAGGGCAAAATTATATAAAACAGACCATATATTATTTAGACACGCAGCCAGTCTATGAGTCTATGTCTGGAATTTGGCCATTGAGTAAATGCTGTGTCGCGTTGGCATTGCTTTAGAAAATAAGAGTCAAAAGGAAGGCCAAAACACATCATAGTGGATGCTGGTTTATTCGTCAACAAGGGCCATGCAATGCGAGGTTCTATGATTTATGCTAAAGCATTCAGACATCATATGAAATGTCAATAATTTTCATGTTGTGCGGACATGTATATATCGCTGCCAAGACGTTAATATGTTGACATTTCACAATATAATATAAGATTTTTTTTTTTTTTTAAAGAAAAGGTCCAAACAATAAGGAAGTCACATCCAGCTTAAATGAATAATTGCCATTAAATTAAGTTAATCAAATCTAAAGGTAGACATGATGTTCGAAAATTCTTGCCTAATTATCATCCGGAAATGTGTTTTTGAATCAAATCATAAAAGAACTGTTCCTTTTTTTTTTTTAATCCATATTATCATTTATCACTTCACCAAATATAAATTGGCTTGAAAGCAGATTTGGGTTTGATTCAGAAATAAAAGTTAAACTTCTATTTAACTGTGATTACTCAGTATTAGTCTTCTTTTTCATCCCATTGATCCAATATGCGTTTCTTAGAGAATTTTCAAGAAAATTTACAGAAATCGTTATATTAAGTGGACTTTAATTAACCATTAGCAGACAAGAGAATCCAAGAAAGATATATAAGAATCGAAATGAAGTCAAAGGGTCTAGCTCGCGTATACGAACATTAACCTAATTACTCCATTGATGAATTTAGAGTAGCCACTCGTGCACCTATAAATATATATAGAACAGTGTTATTAAACAGCCCTATTGCTACGTTTTATGTCTGTAAGTGCGAAACAAGGCAGCTAAGCCATGCGAGTCTTAAATATCACCACCAAACACGCTGAAACGCCTATCATCATCCATTGCGTATATCGGGAATGTAGGGCTCTGGATTGCATTGCATTGCATTGCCAATCAAACATTAATTAGTTTTAATTAAATATATATAATTCCATATCATAAGCATCTTTAGTGTCTAATTAAACTATTGATGCCTCGTGAATGGTAAGATGATTGTGCTTAGATAATAACATTTCAATGGATAATAATATATTTAAAAGTGGGTTAAGCTCGTGAATTTAGGTTTTAGATAGGATGACGATATATTTATGTAAAGATGATCTAGGTTCATTGCTTCTGCCATTTTATATTATGACTGCAAGTTAAAATGTTTCTAATTTTAATTAACCATGCTCACGGGAGAAGATATATTATTAGCTATAAAACCTCTTTTCTTTCCTTTCTCTTTGTAAAAGATGTTTAAATCTGATCTGTTTTTATATTAATATAATTAATTCTTACATTATTCTTTGTTTATTTTTGTAACTATCAGTAATAAATAAAAATCTTTCATTATCATATCTCTCTCTACTCTAGTTGAAATTTTCGAAAATCTTTCAGTATTATACTTGAAATTTTCAAAAACAGTTATATCAACACATTCCTATCATGTTGTATCTATATATTATTTCATACGTATGTCTATTACAAAAGGGGTGGAGTACTATTTTGAATTTTTTTTCCCCCTCTGGATTTGTATTGTACCGTTTTAATTTTGAAGTTCAAAAACCGAACCCAACGTTCAATTTCTGAAAAAGAAGCACGCAAGTACACTGCTGGTGAAAAAAGGTGACGTGGCAGGAAACAAGCTAGCTGTCCCTTTAGCTTGATCCAGCTGTATTTACCAAACAATAGAGAAAATCGCTTTCTCTCCCATCTCACCACTATGAAGTGTGTGTAATGTAAATATTCATATCCCATACCATTTAAGCTAGGCGCGTCATCTCACGTGCTTTCACACCTAGGATACCCATTGCTCCCCAGGCTGACTTCCAGCTGGACCAGTCCACACTTCCCAATAAACTTTAAAATTTAATTTAATATTAATGTTCAAATAGTTAGCGTCCAGCCTGTCTCTTTAACGTCTATCCACTGCCCTTTTCTCCTTTCCTACTCCTTTCAAGTTTTAACACCCACTTCCTGACTTCCTTAGCATCAGGGGAGGGTGTTTTCGTCAATGTACCAAACTGCAAACTGTGACTAAGCTGTAAACTGTGGTCCTTTTTTCTTCGGGTTCAAACAATGTTTGAGTCTCACGCTCTGAAGTTGTAACAGGGTGAAATTCAAACACTGGAGACTGCGAGTAGGATGTGTTCTCTTCATCAGTGCCTTCTTTTTATCCTACGCTTGCTTGCTTTCTTTCTTTCTGGCGAAGCAGTAAGTAACTCGAAAATGGCGAAACTCATTTTCTCTCTCTTTTCTTACTTTGTCCCTTTCGAGGCAGGTTCCATTGCTTTTTTACACTTAACCACACTTTCTTTTAGTAAACGCATGTTAAAAACCTGAAAAACCCTTCTTCACGGGCCTATATAAATCCAATCCACACATACACAGCCTGTATCTCTTCTCTTTTCTGTTAAACTTCAAACGATAAAAGAAAAATGGCTTCTTTTTCTTCTAAATACGCTTTGAAACTATTTCTTCTAATTTCTATTTTTCAAATCTGTTTTGCTGTGAGGAAGCTCAATGAGCTAGTACAAGATCCGCCACAGCTCTTGAGTTATCACAATGGTCCTCTTCTTTCTGGAAAAATCTCAATCAATCTAATCTGGTATGGCAATTTCAAGCCATCTCAAAGAGCTATAATCTCTGATTTTATCACTTCATTATCATCTCCTTCTTCTCATAATAGCCAACCTTCTGTTTCCGCATGGTGGAAAACAACAGAGAAATACTACCATCTCACCTCTAAAAAAACCACACTTTCCCTTGCTTTAGGAAAGCAAATATTAGATGAAAACTATTCATTAGGAAAATCACTTACAGACAAACAAATCGTTGAGTTAGCTTCCAAAGGAGATCAAATGAATGCCATTAACGTTGTCCTTACATCTGCCGATGTTGCTGTTGATCGGTTTTGTTTTAGCAGATGTGGAACTCACGGGTCTGCTTCTGCAAAATCTAAAACAGGTCAAATTAAGGGTAAAAATTACAAATTTGCTTACGTTTGGGTAGGTAACTCGGTCACTCAGTGTCCGGGTTACTGCGCCTGGCCATTTCACCAGCCAGTTTATGGACCACAGAACCCACCATTGGTTGCACCTAACAATGATGTGGGACTTGACGGTATGGTTATAAATTTGGCTAGTCTCTTAGCAGGAACAGCAACAAACCCATTCGGAAATGGGTATTTTCAGGGTCCGAAAGAGGCTCCATTGGAGGCTGCATCAGCTTGTACTGGTGTTTATGGGAAAGGTGCTTATCCAGGATATGCCGGTAATCTTTTGACGGATTCAACTACCGGAGCTAGCTATAATGCAAATGGAGATAACGGCAGAAAGTACTTGCTTCCTGCTTTATATGATCCTTCTACATCTTCTTGTTCTACTCTGGTCTAAAAATGGAGATTAGGATTTACGTTTAGATTACTATTGGAGTTAATTAATGTATACGCCTATATATACAGAGAGATGTTAAATTTATTGATTTGTTCAATTTTTTAGATTATGCGGATTAATAATAGAAAAGCAAATTACTTTGGTTTGCTTTTTTTTTTTTTTTAATCAGAAAAATTAAAGGGCTCTGTGCTAATATCTGCTCTTTTGTTTATTTAATTAATTAAATCGTCAATGGAGGGATACTAAGCATTACTTAATTGGCATTTACTATTCTTGCTTAATTACCCATTTTCCTATTATTGCCTCCACTTCCCATAATTTAGCTTTTGTTAATCTTTCTTCATTTAAGCAAACTTCAATTAAAATATTTTCAACACATTACATATTATATTAACGAAATTCCATTTTCTGTAAAAAAAAAGTTTTATTACTAAAATTATATATTAATATAAGTTTGACAGAGAAGTAATGGAACCTGGAATCTAATTAATGTTTCTATGACTGGGCCAAACGTCATTATTCGATGATATAGAAATGAAATTTCAGCTAGCCCTTTCCAGCTCTCTGACTTGGAACCACCGTCTATCTATATCATATGCTAATATAGTAATCATATTAATAATGCAGAAATTAACTATTATAAATAAATGTTGCTATTATTATTATTATTATTATTATTATTATTATTATTATATAATGAGCTTAAATCTATGCTTTTAGCCATGAGAAATTGAACAATCTCTGTAGAAGAAACAAAACAAAAAACAAGTACTCAATGAACAAAATAAAGAGTTATGATTACTGTAACCCTGTGGATAAGCAATTTAATTACATGTCATTGGCTTGCTTTGCTTAAGACTACGATCTAATTAATGAGAGGTTATGATTATTCCAGTTAGTTGTGCAATGGCACTTTTTTTTTTTTTTTGAAATTAATGAAAGAGGTTATGATTATTCAGTTAGTTTGTGGCCATGGCACCTTTTTTTTTTTTTTTTTTGGCCGGAAGATTAAGATGAAAAAATTTACCTATTACAGTGCATGCCCACTTATGAATTAAAATTAAACAAAAATTAATAATTTTTATTGAATAATGATATTTTTGACCACTTTTTTTTTTTTTTTGCCGGAGATTAAGATGAAAAAATTTACCTATAACAGTGCATGCCCCACTTATGAATTAAATTAACAAAATTAATAATTTTTATTGAAATAATGATATTTTTGACTATATATTTGAAAAAAATGATAAAGTTAAATTTCAATTTCATATGTGTGGTCTATAAATGGGACCATGAACTTGATTTAGATAATTAATTTTTCTAATTATGATACAGAAATATTGTATGTTGTTTTCGACACTAAAATTATAAATACCGAAATATTATGCAGTGCAGCAATTAAGATAGACTACAAGTCATTTGATATTAAAACTTTGTTCGGTATCGATTTTTGAGTTAGTTTTTAATGTTTTCAGCTAAGTCAAAAATCTGTTTCTATTGATCATAGACTTTAGTAGCATAACTTTTATAATATTAATTTTTAGAGTTTAAGAGAAGCTAATAATTAATATTTATTAATATTTATTATAACAGTTAACAACTATTAAAACGACTGTAATATATAATCTGATCGAAGGAGTCGTCCTGCACTCCTCAATCGGGTAGGATGGCCTTGACTGTATCAATTACTATTCCTATAATCTTCTTTTCATATTATCTAATGCATATTTATGAATTAAATCAACAACGTTATAACTGTTTCCCGTAAAAATAAAAAAAAATAATATTTCCTTCATCCCATAATTTTTATCATATTTTTATCCATTTTAAATTGTTATTCTATTCCTTTTTTAAGATGAATAATACTTAGGAATTTACTATTTTACCCCTATTACTTAAATATATTCCTTTGTCAAGAAATATTTTCCAACTATATCTAAAATTTCAGCTTTAAATCAAAGCATTTCCTGGTCTTTTCATAATACTATATAGTATTTAAATATTTGATCAATTTTTAGAAAGGAAAAAAAGCCGAATACTGAGAAACATTCCCATACAAAGATCCAAAGATTTTGACAATTTTATAATATTGTTATAATGATAATGATAATGGTGAGGCCCATTGAATTATTAATTTAAACTACATATTTTATGTGTCAAAGTAGGTATTTCTAATTCCATAATATTTTTCATGTGAAAACTGTCGCCTCAGCAGCTCAGCCTCGCAGCTCAGGCGTCGAGCACAAGATTGGCAAAAAGCTGAAACCGCCAAATACTATGGGGAGCTGACCACACCGCATATTCTTAAAGTGTGTCGCTTTCCTTCTCAACTATGGGGAGCTGACCACACCGCATATTCTTAAAGTGTGTCGCTTTCCTTCTCAACTAAAAATCGCTGGCTGCCTTCTCACATACAGATGCAGGCTAATAGTAATTGCTGAAACCGCCAAATACTATGGGGAGCTGACCACACCGCATATTCTTCAAGTGTGTCGCTTTCCTTCTCTACTAAAAATCGCTGGCTGCCTTCTCACATACAGATGCAGGCTAATAATAATTACCCAACGCCTTTATCTCTTTCCCTGTAACTTCTCAAACACTCTTTACCACTTCTCTTTCATCGCTTCAAAATCCACAGTAGCGGCACAGCCATCTGTTTCCACTTGATGGGAAGCCGATAACTTTCTTTATGTGATGGCAAATTAGTTCCAACTACTTAATTAACAACAAAGATAAGGAGCCTACTCTAAAGCACAACTAGGAATGACATGATACATGGGATAAATTTTATTATCCATGTGATTTATGACATGGATTTTTATGTCTTTTTGTGTTTTTTTGATATAATATATTTGGATTTCATTAGAAATTTTAAATCAATCCAAGGAAGACATGACCCTACTCAGATATAGAACAAAATTATTATAATTAAAATAATTATTGTTTGCTGATCTAATAATAAAACCTAATGAAAATTGAAATGTGAATTTGAAAAAGTTAATGGATATTCAAAGTGGCTGACAAACTCTATGAATCTTTCGTATATGGCCTAATTATTCATGAATTAATTGCTTATGATGAACACAGAGAATTTGAATTACTGAATCTAATGGAGGAACATACCGCATTATCAAACTTTAGAGGACAAAGATATTCTCCACAAATTGCACACATGTCCAAATAAAATAAAACAAATATTCCACATAAAATAAACAGATCATAAATCCACACAAGATGGAGATAAACAACAGAAGAAATATAAATACTATAAATATATGCCAAATAGACATATATCTGTCATTCATTTAACAAAAAATATAAAAATTTACAATAAAATCAGAAATACAAGAGAGGGGCCATGAAAAAAGATAAAAATCAGCCCATCCTCATATCTATATACTTAATTTTTGTGTTTCAATGGAGAGAAAGAAAGAAAATTTTAGTGAAGAAAGGGAGAGAGAGCATCATATGTCCCCAGTGGGTTTAGAAGGAAGCATCCATCTTTTATTTTTACGTTGAAATGGAAAAAGAAAAAGTCTTTTGGTGTTAATACATGGCATAAAACACTGGAAATTATAGTATTTTAAGTTCAATATATATTGTGAAAATTCAGTTTAATTAGACTATAAATAAAAGAAAAATATATCTTTATAATATGACTTCAAAAATCAAATTGGTTAACAGACTATAAATAAATCCGTTTATAAGATCCAACACATAAGGTTTATATATCTATTCTTTGATTTTTTTTTTTTTCTTTCCGATTACTTTTGTTAAAAGAAGTAAATTCATGAGAAATGTACCAAACCATATCTGCAATTCCTTTTTCCCTTACATTTGCTTTTTGGATTTTTCACTTTTTTTTTTTTCTTTTTTACACATTCTAGATATGTTTCATTTGACTTCAGCTAGCAAGCAAGCAAACCTGGTAAGTCATTATGGTAAAGTAGATTCGGTTGAAAGCGATAGAACTAAAAGTTTAACGCGCAAAACCTTTGCTGGCGTTTTCCTTAACCAGCCAACCATACATTTACAGTTGTTTCTTCCGCGTAGCTTCTCTTTCCTTCCCTCTTTCATCCATTGCCCATATCCATAAATCCCTATATATAACATTGTCTTTTCATTCTCTGCTTCATCAACCATATTCTCTTTTCCTTTCTTCAATTTCCTATACAAAAGTTTATCAATCATGGCCTCTTTTGTTTCTGCTCATTTCTTTCTCCTGCTAGTATTTGTTGTCTCTCTCTTCCATCTCAACTCTGCAGCGAGGCAACTCACTGAGTCGACAGAAAACCAGCAAACCCTTTTGTTTCAATACCATAATGGCCCTCTTCTTACTGGCAAAATTTCTATAAATTTGATCTGGTATGGAAAATTCAAACCTTCTCAACGTGCAATTGTTTCCCTCTTCTTACTGGCAAAATTTCTATAAATTTGATCTGGTATGGAAAATTCAAACCTTCTCAACGTGCAATTGTTTCTGACTTTATTGCTTCCCTTTCTAAGCCTGAAATAGCCCAACCCTCTGTTTCTACGTGGTTTAAAGCCACTGAAAAATACTATAATCTCATAAAATCTAAGAGAGCTTCTTCTCCCGTTGTCCATTTGGGCACACAAATTTTAGATGAGAGTTACTCTTTGGGGAAATCTCTTGCCAATAAGCAAATCGTTGAATTAGCATCCAGGGGTGCCCAAAACAATGCTATTAACGTCGTTTTGACTTCGAAAGATGTTGCAGTTGAGGGATTCTGCTCTAGCAGATGTGGAACTCACGGGTCTTCTGTGGCAGCTAAAAAAATAAATGGTAAAAGTTCCAAATTTGCTTACATTTGGGTTGGGAATTCTGAAAGTCAGTGCCCAGGTCAATGCGCTTGGCCATTCCATCAGCCTATTTACGGACCACAGAACCCACCACTGGTTGCACCCAACAACGACGTAGGTCTTGATGGTATGGTTATCAATTTGGCTAGCCTTTTGGCTGGGACTGTGACCAACCCATTCGGAAACGGCTACTTCCAAGGTCCAAAGGGGGCTCCTCTCGAGGCTGCATCAGCTTGTCCTGGTGTATATGGGAAAGGAGCGTATCCTGGTTATGCTGGCGATCTATTGGTGGACTCAACAACTGGTGCTAGCTATAATGCACACGGCGTCAATGGCAGGAAATATCTGATTCCTGCTTTGTTTGACCCTTCAACCTCTGCTTGTTCCACTTTGGTTTAAACAACAAGAATCGCTACACGCCCAGACATGCTTATTTGCTTGTAGAATTATATAAGATTATTTCCAAGATATTCTTTCATTCTTTATTCCTTATATATATTTGTTTTATATATATACTGAATCTAAACTTATACGCAAAGTTGTTTTATAGACATTATCTATACACGAATATTTTTATCTTTTTCTTTTACTATAAATTTTTATTGTTGATTGAATTTTAATTATTGTTCAGATTCATATATAATCTCAAAATTGTATAATCTTTTAAATAACAATAAATTTAACTGAAAAGAAAAAGTCTCTATATTTATAAAAACTGTAGCACTATATATATTTTACATTTTGTTGCCATTTCATTCTGATTTGACCCTTATGCTAATTTCATCGTAAACTTTAATCTTTTATTGCAATTTCTCTCCAATTTGAGATTTTTATTAATTTCATCCTAAATTTTAACCTTTTATAGCAATAGCATCCTAAATTATAATTAAAATTTAAATTATAAATAAAAATTGCTTCATTCTTGATCTTGGGCTTACATTAACTAAATACATTTGTATAAATGAGTGAGTTTGAGTTAACAATACGGACAATCTCTATTATTATTTTTAATATTTTTTAATTATTTCTTTAATTGATAATGATTAATATTTAAAAATTGATTATTTGATACAAGAACGTTTTTTAAAAAAAATTAAAATATAATTGTTATTATGATATGATTTTAAATATAAATTTTGAAATAATTATAAAATCTAAAAACAAAGCTATGTATTTAATTGACCCATAAACTAATAGAAATTGTAATTTTTTTTTGTCAAAATAGAATATAAGATATAATTATAATCAATTGTAGTTTAAAATTGTAGAATGAAAAAAATATATCTACTCAAAATAACAACTAAACTTAACAAATTTGTATGAGTAAGTAAATTTGAATTAAGCTAACCCAGAGTCACGATGGGTTTCATATCAATGTAATTTTTTAATTAAGTTTTAATTGCAATTTAGGTGTTAATACAACAAAAGATCAAAATATAGTAAAATTGCAATACAGTATAAAGTTTAAAGTAAAACAATGTATTAAACCTTTTTTTTACGAATATCAAATTATGTCTATCATACTTAATTTCGTCTTTCTATTTGTTAATTTTTTTTTTACGATGCTAATCGGGTAATAACATCAAACAAAAATGATATATATTTTTGAATAGAGAATGGATTAGTTAATCAAATAGGTTTTTCAATATAGAATTTATATTATCATCTCGTTTTAAGACAAAACTGAAAATTTTTTAATTATCATCTCATCTTGTCTTACACACACCTTTAACTTCCGTCTATTCCTTTGCTATCGACCAATGAATTTTCCATCAGTAAATTTCATCAATGATTATGTGTTTCTCCTATATATTGTCATGTCTTTTTGTTCTAATATGTATTTTTCACCTATAAGAAAACAAAAATAACTTGAAGCTATTCAATTTTGTCAATTTTCATACTTTGAAAATGAAATAACTAATAAAAAGAAAATGATTCTAAATCAGTTGAAATTATATTATTTTAATTATATTGATATTGTAAGAATTCAATTTAACTAGACTAAGTTCCTAATTAAATTACATACATATTCTTACAATTTCTATTATAATTTCGTAGGCTTCTAATCTTATTGATAATTTTTAATATTTTCATCCATCCCATGAAAATAGGTTTATTTTTATTTTCATAAAAATTAAGTAAAAAGAGTTAATATAGTTTAAACAATCAATTTTACCTAACTATATTTTTCCTACCTCTATATTAATATTATACATTATTTCCAACGAAGAATTGAATTGAAAATTTATTGATAATAAAATATATTAAATAGGAATATACTAGAGACCAAAGAAATTAGCCATACTTTCTAAAAAGGAAAACAACTTATATTTGCGACAATTAAAAAAAATGCAAGCCTCAAAGAGAGCAGTAAATGCTGATAGTTACGAAAATCAATTAAATTAATCTAATTACTCCCTTAATTTTATAAAAATATATGTAATTTTCTTATTTATTTTTTTCAAATTATAATGCTATTTTCTACTTTAAGAGCGTAACATTGACAGAATACAGAAATTTATTTTTGAATTTTTTTTTACTTTAATTTTGTGTCACCTTCAACTTTTAATTTAACTTATCAAATATTTCAAATTATAAAATTACATCAATTAATTGTTCATTAAAAAATTAAAATTTATAAAAATTAATTTTCGGAAAATCATGTTGTATATTTTAGAAATAAAAGACAAAAATCCTCCTTTTTTTCCTCCCAAAAATACATAGCTTAATTTAGTTTTTCATATCTTTTTCTTTCTAGAAGATACTTTTCATTGGACTTTAGCTTCAAATCTGATAAGTCAAACATTATGGCAAGGGGGATTCGGTTGAAAGCGATATAACTACAAGCCGCGCACTATCCATTAAAGCTTCAACGCGCAAAATCTTGCTGGCGTTTCCTTAACCAGCCACAACCCGTTTACAGCTGTTTCTTCCGCGTAGCTTCTCTTGGCTTCACTCTGTCACTATACATCCCTATATATTAACACTGTCTTCTCATTCTCTGCTTCATCAAGCAAATTCTCTTTTCCTTTCTCAGTTCCTTTCTTCAATTTCCTATACAAAAGTTTATCAATCATGGCCTCTTTTGTTTCTGCTCATTTCTTTCTCCTGCTAGTATTTGTTGTCTCTCTCTTCCATCTCAACTCTGCAGCGAGGCAACTCACTGAGTCGACAGAAAACCAGCAAACCCTTTTGTTTCAATACCATAATGGTCCTCTTCTTACTGGCAAAATTTCTATAAATTTGATCTGGTATGGAAAATTCAAACCTTCTCAACATGCAATTGTTTCTGACTTTATTGCTTCCCCAAGCAAATTCTCTTTCCTTTCTCAGTTTCCCTTTCTTCAATTCCTAATACAAAAAGTTTATCAATCATGAGCCTCTTTGTTCTGCTCCATTTCTTTCTGCCTGCTAGTATTTGTTGTCTCTCTCTTCCATCTCAACTCTGCAGCGAGGCCAACTCACTGAGTCGACAGAAACCAGCAAACCCTTTTGTTTCAATACCATAATGGTCTCTTCTTACTGGCAAAATTTCTCCTCTTCTTACTGGCAAAATTTCTATAAATTTGATCTGGTATGGAAAATTCAAACCTTCTCAACATGCAATTGTTTCTGACTTTATTGCTTCCCTTTCTAAGCCTGAAATAGCCCAACCCTCTGTTTCTACGTGGTTCAAAGCTACTGAAAAATACTATAATCTCATAAAATCTAAGAGAGCTTCTTCTCCCGTTGTCCATTTGGGCACACAAATTTTTGATGAGAGTTACTCTTTGGGGAAATCTCTTTCCAATAAGCAAATCGTTGAATTAGCATCCAGGGGTGCCCAAAACGATGCTATTAACGTCGTTTTGACATCAAAAGATGTCACAGTCGAGGGATTCTGCTCTAGCAGATGCGGAACTCACGGGTCTTCTGTGGCAGCTAAAAAAATAAATGGTAAAAGTTCCAAATTTGCTTACATTTGGGTTGGGAATTCTGAAAGCCAGTGCCCAGGTCAATGCGCTTGGCCATTCCATCAACCTATTTACGGACCTCAGAACCCACCACTGGTTTCACCCAATAACGATGTAGGTCTTGATGGTATGGTTATCAATTTGGCTAGTCTTTTGGCTGGGACTGTGACCAACCCATTCGGAAATGGCTACTTCCAAGGTCCAAAGGAGGCTCCTCTTGAGGCTGCATCAGCTTGTCCTGGTGTATATGGGAAAGGAGCCTATCCTGGTTATGCTGGGGATCTATTGGTGGACTCAACAACTGGTGCTAGCTATAATGCACATGGTGTCAATGGCAGGAAATATCTGCTTCCTGCTTTGTTTGATCCTTCAACCTCTGCTTGTTCCACTTTGGTTTAAACAACAACGATCTCTACACGCCCAGACACGATTATTTGCTTGTAGGATTATATAAGATATTCTTTCATTCTTTATTACTTCTATTTGTTATATACGCTGATATGTGAAGTTATATGCAAAGTTGTTATACATACATAAATATATGAAGATTTCTGTCATTTTCTTTTATTAGATTCATATTTTTCATTGATTAAATTTTGATTAATGTTCTGACTTACAAACTGAAATTCTAGTCTTTTAATAACTGTAAAATTAATTTGAAAAAATAAAAAAAAATCAGATGTGGAAATTCTCTAGTATTATCAAAATCATATTACCATATGATTGATGGTACTTTTCATATAATATGTAATTAATTGATAAAAATAACAATTTTTACATTAATTGTAAAATTTTTTTTATATCATTTAATTTATTTTCTCAATAAATTGATATGATGTCCACATAAAATTTTATTCCACTGCTATCACAATAATTGTCAATTTGTGCCTTATTGACAAATAATATGGTTAATAAATTTGACTTAATAGCACTTAATAGTTTATTAAATTATAAATTTTCCAACTCTAATAAAAAATTTTTGATCAAAACTCAAAAGTCCCAATTAACTGCTGTGAAGAGAAATTAATTCATGGCAGAGAAGCATTCTAGGAAGTAAATTTAACAAATTAAAGTTTCAAAAGATTTATTTATTCTCTTTGAAAATTCAGAAGATTTGTTTTTTATAATAAATAAAAAATGAAATAACAGTTAACAAGAAAATATATGCACTTAGATTATATAAAAAATAATCAATAAATAAATAAATAAATAGACTCTGTATACTACAAGTAAATATATAAAGCCCCCTAACCATATTATATGCGTAATTATTTCTATTTTTATTTTTTACTCAATAGAATATAAAAGTTTGAATTTCTAAGATCATGTATAATATAATATAGTAAAAATTCAATTAATAAAATCTCAATCTAATAATAATAATAATAAATCTAAGGGTTGAATTTAAGATTTAAGTACATTTATGAATATATTAAATCAAGGAAGAGAAATATTCTGTTATTTTTTATATCTATCTTAATAGATAAATTTTTTTATTAGTAAAGAGTGGAGTTAATTTAGCAAAATTATCAAAAGGTTTATTTTGTAAAATAAATTAAAAATAATACATGCACCTTAGATTACACCCAAAATAATAAAAATAAATAAAAAGCCACAATATAATAACAATATATACGACAGCTAAATTAACCTTCCAACGCATTGCATATTACTGATAGGCTGGGTTTGCGTTGCAATTCCCCAGATGTGCCCTTACTCTCTTGCCAAATGACACAAACATTTGTCGTTTTGCTCTGACTTAGTTATTGGCACGTCGTATTACTTTATTTTATTTATTTATTCCTCTTAGTGTCCAACCACTGTAACCTTAACTTGTTTGACATTAGATTCGCCTAAAGATCAATGCAATTAGCCGCACACTTCCTCTGTTGGTACCCAAACAAACACCGCGTTTGTTTAACTGGCATCTCAGTGCCCACTCTCCACTTGTTAATGCCTCTCTTTTCCAACCTTTTCCAGGTAATTTCCTACCTAAATCTCATGCCTATTTATACCCATCTCTTATTCTCTGCTCTTCATTCCAAAACCTCTTTCACTTCCTCTCATACAATATCTGAAACAAACAAATCTATTATGGCTTCTTCTCTTCTTTTCAAGCTTGCTTTATTTGTTTCTCTTATTCATTTCAGCTCAGAAGCAAGAATTCTTGCTGAGTCTGATCAAATCCAACAAATGTTATCGTTTCAGTACCACAATGGTCCTCTTCTTGCTGGCAAAATTTCTATTAACTTGATTTGGTACGGAAACTTCAAGCCTGCTCAACGTGCGATTGTGTCTGATTTTATAACCTCTCTTTCTTCTACTCAAACCACCGTAACTGCCCAACCTTCTGTTGCCACATGGTGGAAAGGTACTGAGAAATACTATAATCTCATAAAATCAAAGAAAACTTCTTCTCTTGTTCTCTCTTTGGGTACACAAGTTTTAGATGAAAGCTATTCATTAGGGAAATCGCTCTCTAATAAGCAAATTGTCGAATTAGCATCAAAGGGCAGCCAAAGCAATGCTATCAATGTCGTTTTGACATCTGCTGATGTTGCAGTTGATGGGTTTTGTTCAAGTAGGTGTGGTACACATGGGTCTGCCGTGGGAGCAAACATCAATGGTAAAAGATCCAAATTTGCTTACATTTGGGTAGGGAATTCTGAAACCCAATGCCCAGGTCAATGCGCTTGGCCATTCCATCAGCCGATTTATGGACCACAGACTCCACCGCTTGTTGCACCAAATAATGATGTGGGTCTTGATGGTATGGTCATAAATTTGGCTGGGACTGTGACCAATCCTTTCGGAAATGGCTACTTCCAAGGACCAAAGGAGGCTCCTCTGGAGGCTGCATCTGCTTGTCCTGGTGTGTATGGCAAGGGAGCCTATCCTGGTTATGCTGGGGTTCTGTTGGTGGATGCTACGAGTGGTGCTAGCTATAATGCACATGGTGTTAATGGAAGGAAATATCTGGTTCCTGCTTTGTTTGACCCTTCAACTTCAGCTTGTTCAACTCTGGTATAAATAAAACAAAGGGATCACGTGATATTGTATAAAATAAATAGGTAATAGAGTTATATGTTATGGAGAGATTAATTCTTTGATTTTTTTTTTTAAAAAAAATATAATTCATCCATTCATTTGTAGTACTATTGAATAATGAAGATTCAGCATTTCATTTGAAATTAAATCCATTTTCTTTTAGCTTTTGTACATTTATCTAAGTATTTTCTTCTTTTTTTACAAAAAAATTATGTTTGCTTTGCCAAATGGATGCCAATTCTTTTGGAGGAAGGCTAGAGCAATGTTTGAAGACTCAAGTCAAGAAACGCAGCGGGAGATCTAGACATGAAAAACAAATCATCAAAAAAAAAAAAAAAAAAAGAGCAATGTTTGAAACTCAAGTTCAAGACAACGCAGCGGGGAGATCTTAGGGACATGAAAAACAAATCATCAAAAAAAAAAAAAAAAAAGATAATGACTTGAAGAAAAAAATACCAACATATAGACCTGCGAGTGATCAATATGAATCTCGTGCAAAAAAAAAAAAAAAAAAAGATAAGACTGAAGAAAAAAAATACCAACATATAGAGTGATCAAATGATCTCGTGCATGATATAAGAGATTGGCAATTTAATAATAATATAAGAAATATGTGATATATATTATATATAATTAAAACTCAATCAATTTAGTCCAAAAAGCTTTGTAATTTTTGTTCTTAGTTAGGTGGTTCCTAAAGGATGCAAGTTATGAATGTGTTCAGAATGAACACAAGTATTATTATCCATGATGTATCCATTAACTGTTGTCCACGGATTTGATTGTGGATTTACTATTAGTGAAAAATATAATTTAAATAGATTAAATTTGGATATTAAAATTTTTCAATGTCTTAATTATCCATAATCATTTTAGGAAGAATACACTAAAATTCAATCAATTTGGTCCCAACGCCCTTGAAATTTTATTTTTAATTATGTGGTTGCTGTTGAGGATGGAAGCTGGTGGGTATTTTCAGATATTTATTTTGCTTTAACCCATTTAATACGGATTTGGACCATTATAAACCGATACAGAGCGAGTACATGTATTACTATGATTAGACATAAGTCTTTGTATATCAATTATTTGTTGCCGCCATATTTAATGGGTTTAATTGTGGATATTTTATGCATTACTAATAAAAAAATATTCTCTTGGTCCCATTTTATTTGCATGGTTTTACAAAACACAATATATTAAAAATTTAATCAATAAAAATTATTTTGTCATTCTTTATTTTTAATAACTCATTAAGATAGTAAAAGTTTTTCGTTTACTGAATAATTATAAAGGTCATTATGAGAAAAATAATCGTTTATATATCTAAATTTAAAAATTTTTCAAACATTTTGAAACATTCAAAAAAAAAATAGTAAGCAAGTAAAATGGGACAGACGGAATATATTTTAAACGAACTTAAAATTCGGATAGTTTAAAATTTTCTAATATATTATCTATTTAAGGTTTATTTTATACAGAATAGTAAAAAATTTAAATGAAATTGAATGAGCAGTTTGAAATTCGTGGTATCTATCCACTTTCATCCCTAGTTACTGCAACCAATTATAAATCACCAGTAATATGGAGTGTGACTTCCTTATTGTACTTTTCCTTTCTTGTTTTATTTTTCTTTTTATCCATCTTAAAATATTGTTCTAAAAAAATGAATAATATTTAAATTTTATTATTTTACTTTTATTTAATATTATTTTTTTGCCAATAACCATATTAATCAAATTAGTTATCATTAATTAAATATCGATATAAATAAAATTAAAATATCAACTTTATTCTTCCATTTCTATGTTAGTCAATTACCTCTAGTATTAAATAAATAATTTGATTTCAATAACATTTTAATGTGAATCATTTAATTTTATTATCCATTTATAAATCAAATTAGACAAAATTTTGGTACAAAGAGAGTAACATTCCTAACAAGTTCCGAACTGTTATCATTTTGGTGCAATTGAGAGGAGAGAGATTGGCGTTGGCCCAAATAATTCTAACCCATCCTTCAGATATTGTGATAGCTGTACCAACATTAATTCGTTTTCTTGCTGGAAATTATTCCTAAATGGTAGGCCCTTGGGAGCACATTTCCTGCCAACCCACTCAACACTGTCCACGGACCGCTACACAATTAAGCCGTAGGGAATGTGAATTTCAACCATACGCATACGCTACCCATTTGACCAAACCCACCTCTCCTCCCACCAATTACATATGTGCAACGTTCACGCCAAGTCCGCTTCTGCATCCAAACGTGAGGTTCGTCAAAATCCATTTCCACTTACTTACAGAACTTCTTCACTTATTGATTATTACAGAAGCAAACAAAGCACCGTCCACCCATTATTCATGGAAGACTATTGCACCTCACCATCTTTACACCTTCCTATCCTTTCTCTTTGGTCATAGTGCCATTAGCTTTCCGACCATGCACTACAAACACAATGTTTGTCCTTTCAAAATGGAACTTACTGTAATTTTTCTTTTTAAAAATATATACAGTAAATAAGGAGTACTTACTTCATTTACAATTTCATTCTCAATAAGGCAGTAATTAAGTCCAGATGGGGTAGCTCAATATAAAAAATGCTTGCATGAATGATCACTTCGATTTAGGCTATAAATTCGATCCTCCACAATATAAATTTTCATTAGGTCAATTCCTTTGTCTCTAAAAGTGAGTGGGAATTAATCGGATTTACTGTATACCGTATTAATTAATTGAAATATATAATGGGTGTATAGCTAAGTATTGATACAATGATTCGGGAATACTCTTTAGAAGGAAAAGAGTTCAACTGATCTAATGGTCATTTGTTTGTTTTAATTGATTAACAATAAGCATAGAATCACAAGCTAGCCCACCATTATCGAAGGATAGTAGTTAACCTGTTACTTTTCCACCATCTGAGAAAAGGGAGTTCTTATTCTGTTATTATTTTATTTCTTCTCTTTTTGTAATTTTGTGCTTGTCAATTTGAGCACAAATTCGAGTGATATTATAATAATAATAATAATAATTTATACCCCACAAAATAAAAAAAAAAAAAGAAAGAAAAGAAAAGAAAAGAAAAGAAACAAGTGGGTATAATTAAGGAATATTTGGCATTAAGGCAAATCAAATTATTGTAGCATTAAGCTACTATACAGCATTATATATAAATAAAAATTTATTTAAATAATACAAACTTTTAATTACGAACCTTAATCTATATCTGTACCCACACATAGGATTAATGTAGTTTTTTTCTTGGTAATAGAGATTAATGTGGTTTATTAATACCAAAAGCCAAAAATTAAGTATCCTCAAACTTCGGATCAAATACTTCTTTTAAAGTTTATAATGCACTTTGGCTAAAGTGGATTAAAATGCGGGCATTCTTTTTGTTAATTTAATTTAAAACGATAAGCACGGAGGGAGTGTATCTTAAGGAAGATGATTATATATTTTATTATATATTAAAATTACTACTTAAATAATAGCTTAGAAAAAGACGACACCACTAATTCATAAAGCCATGTTAAACATAATTAATTACAACAATAATGCAACATTATGCAATTCATCTCTCTCTCTCTCTCTCTCTCTCTCTCTCTTTTCTTTTCATTATCAGTAGCTAGTAGCTTCTATAGCATCCACATCTTTTACATGGAAGATGCTCATATCAATGTTCAAATGTTTTTTATAAAATACACGATTAGAATTTTGTATACGTAGCTAATTAATAATTTATAATTAATAATTATGTTAATCTTTTGAATAAAGTTTCTTTTTTAAAGAACATATTCAACTGATAATACAAAGTTTTAAATTAACGTAATCAACTAGAAGTATAAAATTTTAAATTAAATTAATTAAGATATATTCAATATATTTTAGTGCTTTTATATAAATAATATATAAATTTATTTAAAAATTATTTTTCCTTATTAAATAACATCTATAAGGCGTGATTTTGTGCGAAAGGAATGCCAAAGCATAAAAAAAATCTGAAAGTTAGAAGCTACTTCTTCTTTAAAATTTTACATACGTTCCGATCAATAAAGTATTAATTGAAGTGATAACCGACTTTAATTTTTTAAAGGTGAATATACAAGTTTCATCTTTGAAACTGCGGTTATTTATTAAAAAGACAAAAAATCTTAACGTTATACTATTTGCAGAGAAAAAAGTTTATATGTCTTGATTCTAACAAAAAAAATTAAATACACCCAAAGTCATTGTGCATTACTGTTCTGATCCTTATGACTTTCTTTTCCTCTTAAATAGTTTCCCCACACTATTAATTGGTTACTGCTTCAATCCCAAACCTAAGAAACTTAATTTTGGTTTGTTTTTTTGGTCGACATTGCGAGGTCGGCTGACTTTAGCAAAACCAGTAGCAATCATTAATTAATGGTAATAATATATATATATCTCAGAATCATTAATTAATGGTAATAATATATATATCAGAATTAAACTCTCTAATGCAAACTCTTTCGAACTGGAGCTAGGACTAACCTTTTTACCTCAAAAAATAAATGAAAATTAATTAGATTTATAAACAGTTAAAATTAATATGGACTTGAATACCTCCTGGAAGTATAAAAAAAAAGTTTGAGAGTTTCATTAGTTCTAAATGGAATGAGCAAACCAAAAATATATCTCTCTTAATTGAAATTATGAGCAAAACAAAAATATATTTCTTATATTGCAGGTATATATATATATATATATAGTATTGAATTGGTCATTGCCTACCCCTACTAATGGTTACATCTTGCTTTAGTTTAAGTCATTCAGCGTGCGTCTTTGACACTCATCAAGTCAACCCCACGCGTCACGGACTCACGACCAATACTTTAATACTGCATTTTATATTTTCATCTTATCACTTCCTCTTCCAGCTGTATCCATAACCACACACCATATATACATAGCATAATTATTATAAATACCCTTCATGAACACCCATGCTCTTCACTTGTCAATTTCGAAACATTAAACTCACAAACAAGAAAGTTCTCTAGTAAGGTATCTCTTCTATTCTATCATGATGGCTTTTTCCCTTAACCATTTCACCAATTTTGCTTCACTTCTTTTTCTATTCTTGTTTCTTGAACCTGCCTTTGCCACAACAAGAAAGCTCGCAGCTCTCGTTCAAGAACAACCTCTCTTGCTTAAGTACCATAATGGTCCACTTCTTAAAGGCAACGTTACTGTTAATCTCGTCTGGTATGGCAAGTTCTCCCCTATCCAACGGTCTATAATCGTTGACTTTTTCAACTCTCTCAATTCGGATGGGACTCCTTCTCCTTCAGTATCTTCCTGGTGGGAAACTACTGCCAAATACAGAGGAGGTCCCTGCAATGTCAATTTAGGGAATCAGGTCTTCGATGAAAATTATTCTCTTGGAAAATCAGTCAAAACGTCCTACCTTGCAGCTTTGGCCTCCAAAGCCGGTCGCGGTAAAAATCCAATTACTGTTGTTTTCACCTCTGCTGATGTGGCGGTTGATGGGTTTTGCATGAGTCGTTGCGGTACTCATGGTTCGGGTCAGGGCGAGAAGGCTAAGTTCGCCTATGCTTGGGTTGGTAATTCGGTGACTCAGTGCCCTGGTCAGTGCGCCTGGCCTTTTCACCAACCGATTTACGGACCACAGACTCCTCCTCTGGTGTCTCCTAACGGTGACGTTGGAATTGACGGCATGATCATTAACCTGGCAACGGTTTTCGCGGGAACGGTGACGAATCCGTTTAAAAACGGGTACTTTCAGGGGAGTGCTGACGCTCCTCTAGAGGCAGTGAGTGCGTGCACGGGTATTTTTGGGAAAGGAGCGTACCCGGGATTTCCAGGAGAGGTTTTGGTGGACAAAACGACAGGAGCTAGCTACAACGCAATTGGTATGAATGGGCGTAAGTATTTGCTACCTGCAATGTGGGACCCGGAAACATCTACGTGCAAAACCCTCGTGTGAATAAAATAAAATGTAAAAATGTTGGAACAAACCAGTAATTTTGTATTTATGTAACATTGCATGTAGATACGGGTGAGTCGGTATACGTTGATGGTCAATTTTTTTGTTGAGTGATATTGTAAAATGTTACAAATATTAATAAAATTTTGCAAGGTTGCTTAAATTAGCCTGCTTAAGGCCTAGTTTCACCATGTATATGGCACAAATAAATAGAAATGGGGTAAAATGGTTTAAAATCTAAAAGTGAGGGGACAAAATAGTTGAAAGGACACAGCTCGCCTGAGCATACTTATAAAAAAAAAACAAAAACAAATAGAAATAGAAAAGGGCATGTACAATGGCAATTGGAAAGATTCTAGAGGCCTGAGACCAACCTGGGGCTGGATTTACATTTAATTAGTCCTGAACCTAATGCGTTGGGCTTAGCCCAGATCTATCATTTTCAATTTTCAAGCTATATTCTATGGGGCTCATTTTCAAAGAATTAAGGTTTTACGCTAGCCCAATTTGCAAGCCCAAAAATACCGAAATATAGTGTAAAAACTAGGTACGAAATATCAGCCTCATCGTTTTCTCTAATTCTCGAAGTATAAAGTGGAAGCTAGTTCGTCAACCTCCTAATCCTTTCTTCCTTTCCCTCCACTGCTCTCTTACGCGGCAAAACCACCGATATGGAAGATCCGCAAGGGCACCGTCACCACCAGCACCAAGACTCCTCTCCAAATTCTCCCACAGCCTCTTCACCACCATGCACCACCAGCACTTGCGTAAAATGCGGCGGCCCAACTGCATACCCTCCACCTCCTCAATCTTGGCCCGAAATGTCTCCTCCTCCTACTTACCGCCCAATCCGAGCTCCCGCTATTAATCTTCCTCCGAACAACTCCCAAGCGATAATCCTCGCTCCGGTTCCTCAATCTCAGAAAGTCCCGACCATTTCCCCTCCTTATAACTTCCAATCGCCTTCTAAGAAAATCCAATATCCCGACGACATTCGCCATTTTCAAGCATCCGATGCCGGCAAGAACTTCCTGGGCTTCATTGTATCTCTCTCCGAGTCCATCCGTGGCCACAAAATCTCCGATGCTTGCCATGAATCACATACTGTAAAGACTATAACCTCCGTTCTCGAAACCCTAATTCACTGGGTTGACGAAATTCCTCCGGTTCAACAAGCCGCTCGCTACGGTAATATCTCTTACAGAACATGGCATAGCCGTTTGGTGGAAAATAGCGATTTATTAATGCTTCAATTTTTGCCTGACCATTTTAAATCTGCAACAATCGAGATAGTTCCTTATTTCACTGACAGTTTTGGAAATTCGAGTCGGATTGATTACGGTACTGGCCACGAGACTAATTTTGCAGCTTGGTTATACTGTCTGGCAAGGATGGGAGTTATTAAGGAAGAGGATTATCAAGCCGTGGTGGCTAGGGTTTTTGTAAAGTACCTTGAGCTAATGAGGAAATTGCAATTAGTTTACTCTTTGGAGCCTGCAGGCTCACATGGTGTATGGGGGCTTGATGATTATCATTTCTTGCCTTTTATATTTGGATCGTCGCAGTTGATTGATCATAAGTATATGAAGCCTAAGTCAATTCATAATGAGGACATTTTGGAAAATTTTTCTAGTGAGTATATGTATCTTTCTTGCATTGCTTTTATAAAGAAGGTGAAAAAGGGGTTATTTGCGGAGCATTCTCCATTGTTGGACGATATCAGTGGAGTGCCCAATTGGAACAAGGTGAATAGTGGGTTGCTTAAGATGTATAAAGCTGAAGTATTAGAGAAAGTTCCCATCATGCAGCATTTTTTGTTTGGGTGGCTCATTAAATGGTATGTAACTTTTCCTTCTTCATGAGTAAGTATCGGGTTCAATGTTTGTTCAATTTGGTGTACTTTGGCATGAATTATAATTCTGGAAATTTTAGTTATTGACTTAATGTGTTAAACGACTTTTGCAATTTTTTTTTTCCAAATCAGTGACTTTGCAGAAGTACTTTGTTCAGGCATATTTTGATGGAATGAAATACGGTCGTTAAGCAGTTTGCTTAAATTTATCATTAGGGAAACGAAAAGTGAAATTGACATGAAATGAAAATCTTCCAAAACACTTTTAGTGGGCACACATGGTCCATCTTATCATCTGTTTCCAGAATTACATTAGACCGTTAGTTCTGTCCTTAATTGTCTTACATGCGTGATGAATGTTTGTCTAGTTGCAACAGCAAGATTGCTGGGTGTATGCTTGTAATTTGAAATGTCATTTGGCTAGTTATGAAACATTAGGTGTATGGTTAAGCATAAAATAGTAGTACTTACCTCATGGCCTTCTTATTTTGAATTTTGACTTCACCTTTGTTACAGTATCCTGGAAAGTCTCACTGTTTTTATTTCAAAGGAGTTAAAATAAATACTTTGAGGAGATTGCTGACTCAAATATTGGTTGTATTTATGTGATACAAACTACGGATTTCAATAAGTTTTATATATGGGTTATGATATGTTTTTGTATGGATTATGATGCGTTTTCTGTATGGGTTATGGCGATCTTGAGTCTTGCATTTGCCATTGCCTTGACCCTAACATCAAATACAGACATCTCATAGGGGATACCATTTCCTTGCCTTGTATAGTTGTATTCGAGCTATTAAAAAATATCTAGACACAGTAGTAAATTTTTCTTTTTGTCAGATTTGTTATACATATTTTTACTGAGCTGTAGAATGTACTTTGTTAGCATAATAGATAACGCATACATGCTTACACGAGGGCCTCTGCCCTCTCTAAGGCTGGCTTTTTATGAACTCATTACTGATTATTGGTGAGCCACGGACTGGGGCTCCCCACTGTAACTAGTGCATTGCCTTTCTTGGCTGTCAAATTCAAGTCATGGCAGGTTCAGCATTTTTCTTTCTGTTTAACTGAAGATGTCATGTTGTACAATGTCCTTAATCATAATCTTTCCTTGGATCCTTGAATGGCATGACCATATGACTAATCAGGCTCTGTTATCAGCTGTTCCCTCTCTCTTTCCAAAGTCAGTGATAGACAATACTTCTTTTACCACTGCTTATGACACAGTAGCTTGCTAACTGTTGCCTGTAGATTCTTAATGCCGAAAGTAAATTCAATGTCGTTGAGTCATCAGCTGTACGATGCCACCTGTCATTTCAGTGCTTGGGATATTAGGATTTATCTTCTCGTAGACTAAAGCTAGGGCTTTTGATTTAGAAACGGTTGTGTAATTTTCTGTTAGTTTTAACTTGACTTCTCATGTTGTTTTGTTTTGTTCTTTCTCATGTCAAAGTTCTGTTTATTTTAACAGTACTTAATTGACATGTCTTCTACCATAATACAGACAGTCGGACAAGGTTAACTTACTAACTATCTTTTAATATTTGTGGGTTAGGCTTTCACTTTGCAATGCATCATTAACTGGGGATTATGGTAATGATACCGCCAAAGACCATCTGAACAGCTAGTCTATCTAACTGTTAAACATAGTGATTCTTACAAGATAACAAGTCTTCTGGATCATACCAGCAAAGGGATTCCACAGATTGAATGCTTTGTGACCTCCTATTAGTTCAGTTTGTTCTTAACTATTGCTTTAATGGATTACAGATGGATATTACTTGTCGTTTAGACATTGCTTGCCTGCATGCTAATACACAGGCATGTAGGACAAATTAAATGATCTTCTGTTTGTGTTGCTTTGATACTAAGAGAAGAATTGTGGTTCTTCAGCTTCATATTTTCATTTTGATTGTACCGTTGTCTTGTTATGACTCGAATGCTGTTTGCTGGTTAATAACTGCTTCACTATGTTATTCTTGTTGGTTTATAGTCACACCAATGATTATCATTGAGTTTTATATCTGATTCAATTTTCCTCTTTTCCCAGGGAGTAATTTGTACTATCAGCTCTATAGGATCATATGCTACAAAAACAAGAAAAAGCCATTTCCAGTTTCCACCTGGTCGCTCACTCTTCCCCTTTTCTGCCCTTTTGCCTTGCTTTAATTGGCCATGAAGATGCAGTGTCTTGTCAGGTCCCTGCTTTTTGGTTCAACAACTTTCACTCGATGGTTCTATAATAATCATATTTGAATTTGAATGGTTAATTTGAGGAAAGTTCTGTTTCTGTAGTATTGTAAAGCAAATCTTATACGAAAGGGTGCATGGGTTTTTTTTTCCCCAGGGTCATTAGACCACTTTGATAAATTAAAATAACGCATTATATGATTTTAAAAATTATTTAGTAATTATAAATTATTATTATATATATTTTGTTAATGGGAAGGGCGAAGTGTGAAGAAAATAGAAATGCTTCAAGATAACATATGCCCATATGATAAGAACGAATAGGATTTGAGGATCAAATTCCGTTGTCAGTGTCTCAGCTTTTACTCTTTTTTTCTTTCATCTGAAAATCTATTCCTCAGTGCCCTGTATTTCTGCCCCACTGCCACTGTTCATGAGCAAAAGCAAAATATCTCTGCAATCTCTGTGCGTGAAGAGAAACTATAAATCGGCTTCCTTTCACACTTTTTTCCCTCATCTCTCGTTTGTCACTGCCTACACTTACTTGTATTTCTTTCTACACATTACCTGATCACTCGAGTTTTCTTCAGGCTTCTAACTCTTTCACCCCACTAGTAATTTTACTGAAATAGTTTTGAGTTATAATTTGTTCAGTAAATAAATAAATGAAATTTTAATGCCTCAACGGTTTATTAATCTTACCGAATACAAAATAGAGATTGCTTAATTGAATTATTGAAAACGTAATTGCATTGCAATTGCTTCTACTTTCCTTTCGGAGCGTAGGGTTGTAGCATCGAAGGATAAGTAAGGAATAGAATATAAGGACTAAACCTCAGTGTCAGTGTCTCAGCTTTTACTCTTTGGGTCTATCTGAACAACTACCTCTCAGTGGCTCACTCTTTGACTCTATGCCCCACCGTCCCTATTCACAAGTAATCCCTCTTGCTCTGCACTGTCTGCCGTGTAGAACCAAACTATACATTACCTCTCTTCTTCACCTTTTATAATTTTCCATTTTCACCATTTCACATCACATTTATATCTGCGTTTTCATCTCAGCACATGGTTTATTATAGTCTATGCTTCTATTTCCTAATTTATGGGATTCATTTGAAATTTTCACTTTTCTCTCCACAAATAAATTAAGTAAAATTTCAATGTATCAGCTTAGTGGATTATTAGTCTTTTTATATATATATATATATATATATGTCAGCAAAATTAATTTATTTTATTATAATAAAACATACTTAGAAAAACTTAATTTATTCAAGTAATTTAACCGAGCCAATAGTCTTTCTCTATTATTATATAGATATTGTTTAGTTAATCATAATAGTTCTTATTGGACTTTAAAATAAATTGTGCCCAATTTGACTTCTTTTTTTCCACTTGTAGCCCCTAAAACTATTTCACTTTTCAATATATGAAATAAAATTTAGGAATCACAATATTAAGTAACATTTGAAAGGTCATAAAATTATTTGCAAAATTCAAGAGATCATATGTATATTTGAAATGTTCAGGAGTATTCAGAGTTTTTTATTCTGGGTAATATCATTGCAGGTATGAAAATTGAAGAATGGGATACAGAAATTTTGATCTATTTTCTACTTTCTACGTGTCCTGACATTAACGAAAAGAAAAAGACAAATGAGCCCATTGGTGAGTGGTCCCAACCTCCCACAAATCAAATATGGAAATACACAGCACTTACAAGGGGAAAACGCAGGAGTAGACTAGAGACGAGCAAAATGGTCGATTGTTGCGAATTCGAAGAATCTTAATGGGACTCCATAACCGTAAGATGCTGTAATCTTTATTACAGTATTTGGACCTTAATAATTAAGCATTGGTGTCCCTCTACCTTGTCCATTTTCTGCAAATGACTCCTCAGATGTGTATGTGTCTTTGCTGTACATTTGCAATTTGTTTCCATATAAAATTACTGAAATTTGAATCTAGTACCTACTCCTACAATGCATTAATAGAGCTGTATTTAGTACATTAAATTATGATAAGGCCTTAGATAATTCATGTCATAAATAAATTTATTTGGAAATTGGTTGATGGGATTCTGTTGTAACATTGGTTTTGCTTCTACTATTAAAGAATCAGTAAAATTTATTTGCTCTTGGTCCCGAAAGCAACAAGAAGTATGCAAACACGACATGCCAAGTGAAAATTAATGTGGGTATATTAAAGAATCCATTGAAATAAAAGTCAATTCATAAAAAGCAGGTCGCATTGGGACCTGAAAATTCAACTTATGCACAGAATCAAACGTTGAAAAAGACTTCATTTTTTTTGGTCCAACAAAAACCAGTCCAAATGCATGGGCCTAATCCAACAAATCTGTGTCGGTGGCCTTTCTATGAGGCCCAATCGGAAATTGCAACCATAACCATAAATCCATAAGCCCTTTCAATTAACTCTCTCTCTCTGTCTCTCTAAAAATGTGCACAAATATCAATTTGGCTCAAGTCATATTCAAAGTTCAAACCTATCTTTCAGAGACTTAAATATACGAAACCAATGTCTATTAAAACTGTCGTTAACACGAGTTTGACACTTCTCACTCCAAAAATTAAAAAGCTCAAGCTTCTTTAATTCCTTTTTTTTTTTTTTTTTGAAAGAAAAAATTTGTCACTCTCTTCCCATTTTCTTCCTCAAAATGTAAACATATTCCATTTTCTCGTGTATTTATCTCCCTCACATACTTCTGCTCTTTCGCTCTTTGTTTTTACTGTTGGGGTTCTTCTTGTTTCTTTCTCTCATTCACTCTGTTTTGTTAGGTGGGTAGATGTAGATGGGACTCTACTAATTTTGTACCTTCTTTCTTTTTACTTCTACACCCCCACCTTCTTCTCTCTCTCTTTCTTTCTTTCTCTGTCTCTCTGTTTTCTTCTTTTTTCCCTTCGTTTGTGGCGGATAAACCGGTGACTCTGTTGCAGAATCCAAATCCCAAAGAAACAGGGGGCCTGAGACTTCGAAGGGGAAGAATAACTTCCTTTTTTTCCTTTCAGGTGTATATGCAAAGATATATTGAGATTTAATTATTGAATGTCTTTGCCCTTTGTTTACCCACAAACTCCGTTCTGCTACAAACAAGAAGTCTTGGTGTACTCTCTGTTTTCTAATGGTGATTTTTGTTTGCTAGATATCAACATGCAATTTTCTCTTCTTTTCCAACTTCAGTCATGTTAACATGCAGAAGATATTTCTCAGCAATTTTCTTTTGTGGGTCTAGCTTAATGGATCTGTAGAACTGCTTAACATATCTTTTATTTGTGCTTTGATTTTTAGTCTATTTCTTGATTTTCTTGTCCAGATCAGTAATTTTTAGTCAGTTCGTTCTTTTTATCCTCGCTTTGTTATTATCGGAATAATTTTATTACTATTTTTTTGTTATAATTTCTTCATTTGGTTTACTGATGTAGAATGGATAATATATGAACATTTACGCACGCTCTTTTTTCTTTTACTCATTTTTGGTAATTTACTGTCCCTTTTATCTTATCTGATCTTTATCTCTTTCATGTACTCTATCTATTTTTAACATTGTCAATTTTTTCTTCTTCTTTTGTTAGATAATCAAAGATATTATCTTTGCCATTGATTATTGGAAATTAATCTTGTATGTATCACAGATCTTCTATTTCTTCTTCTTATCTCTATCCTTCCCTCTCTTTTTGGGGAGGTGGGTTGGGCGCGTTAAGGATTCTTGAATTATGCACATTTGCCATGAAACTTTTCTTGAACTTCTAAGATCTGCCCATTTTGATGATTTTTCTGAATCAGATTCTTAAGGGGTTTTTCATGCTCAAGGACTTGGATTAATTCTATATTTCACATATATTCATATATTTGTTTGTGATCTTTAGTTTTATATACAGGAGGAATAAATGGAAGATGGAAGTGAGTACAGGTGTTGGGATGAGCTAATACCTGATGCCCTTGGGCTAATCTTTAGAAATCTTTCCCTACAAGAGATACTAACAGTGGTCCCAAGGGTTTGTAAATCATGGGGCAGAGCAGTTTCAGGGCCATATTGCTGGCAAGAGATTGACATTGAGGAATGGAGTAAAAAGCAGCAGCAGCAGCACCATCCTCACCATATCGAGCGAATGCTCCGGATGTTGATAAGCAGAAGCTCTGGATCCCTTCGCAAGCTCTGTGTCACTGGCATCCCAAATGATGCCGTTTTTTCATTCCTTGCTGACCAGTAAGCTTAATTATATATGTATTTTTAGTAGTATAAAAACTCAGCTTCAATTTCTGATCATGATTGTATTTGGTATTGTGTTCATTTAGGATTTATCAGTACGTATATAAGTCTCTCTTTGTTATAATGGTCATGATCTCCAATTAGATAACTTTCCTGCTTGAATTGTGATTACTACATGCGAAAAGTAGTTGGCTTTGTACTGTCATTAGGCTTAGAGACCTTCAATGGTGGAATTCTGTAATTTTGGACACTTCAGTGACATTGTTTATTTTCCTTTTTGCTTCATTTTGCAAGTGCTGGCTCCCTTCAGACTTTGCGGATGCCAAGAAGCCAAATAAGTGATTCAATTGTTGAACAAGTTGCTGGAAGGCTTTCAACAATCACTTTCTTGGATATAAGCTGTTGCAATAAAATCGGCGCTCCTGCTTTAGAGGCGATTGGCAATAATTGTAAATTGCTTTTGGGGCTGTGCCGTAACATGGAGCTACCAAGTCAAGCAGATCAACTCCAACAAGATGATGAAGCACTTGCGATCGCTGCCACAATGCCTAAGCTGAAACATTTAGAGATGGCTTACCATCTTCTCATCAGCACAGAAAGCGTGTTGAATATCCTTTCGAGTTGTCCTGAGCTTGAATTTATGAACTTAACTGGTTGCTGGGATGTGAAACTGGATAGCAATTTCCTGAAGGAGAAGTTCCCTAAACTGAAAGTTTTGGGGCCTCACCTCTTGGACTACTATGATATGGATGACTGGGGGGATTATTGCTCTGAATATTCTGATGCTTCTGAGTATTTCGCATGGGAAATTTTCTCTGGCGACATGGAAGATTATGATGATGATGATGATAGTTATGATGAAATGTGGGATGATGATCAAAGACTAGATTTTGATCTCAGGTTCTACGAAGGAATTGAGGATGCTGGATTATATGGTTGGCCTCCATCTCCATAGACTCTGTTTCTATCTTCTGTTCAGTTTTCTATTTCCAGCTCTAAATGCATCTACTAGTACTTCCTTTATTCTCTATATGAATATATATGTTTCAATAGAAATGAATTTGTATGCTTTGTGTCACTACCCGTTATCTAAAAGTTCTCTCTCGAATAAGGATCACTTGAAAGGTGACCTCAATCAATTTGAATGGACATTGAGACCTTAAATCATGGGGTCAATGAAGGGTAAAATGGGGTGCCATCTGGCTGGTGATCATGTGTTGTCGCACGTGTACGAGGGGCTTGGTTTGAGTCCTAGTCACAGTTCTCCAATATGGGTGATTTGGCTTGACGGTTAGATATCCCTTCTAACAATTAATTAACTGTATACCTTTTGAGATATTTTCGGCTTGGTTTGAGTCCTAGTCACAGTTCTCCAATATGGGTGATTTGGCTTGACGGTTAGACATCCCTTCTAACAATTAATTAACTGTATACCTTTTGAGATATTTTCTGTCGTGGATGCGTTACAAGGGTTAACCAACTGATATTTTAGAAATGGCCCACTCATTTTTAATTTCTAGGGGCTAATTATTGATGTGCTCATTGATGACTTTGTGCCCAGGTTGCTTCTTCTAAGCAAGCAACTTTTTAAGCTTAAGCCCCACCAATCACCATACTATTTCAACAGCAGAGAATAGTTGAAATTTAGCTTTTCTTTCCTTGGTGCAATCAATCAAAGCCTACGTTGGTACAAATCAATCAAAGCCTAAAGGCAACTAGCTTAGGCTTGCTTACTTTCTTTGGCCTCTTCAATTGTCTTCTTATCCAAAGATTACTACTTGTCTATACTTCCTTAATATTTTATGTGCTCAGTGTAATTATTTAAGCAAAGCGTATGATTTGATTTACAAGTTAAATAAAAAGTCAATAAAGTTTAAGATGTGCTTAATATTTTACCAATGCAATCAATCTCCAGAGATTTCTATAAAGTTATTATATCATGATTAGAATTGAGAACCCTTTTTTTTCTTTTTTCTTTTTTTATTATTAAGGCCGTGTTGGTAACAATATTATCTTTGTTAGTTATGCTGTTAAATGGAACAATGTTTATATTAAAATAGTTAATATTGCAAACATAGTTTAATTAGTTTAATTATTAAGTTATATACGCATTTATCATTACATGCCTTATGTTGTACCCTTCTGTGTTTTTTTACCCCTAGAAAATGTCAAGGAAAAATGATAATGAATTTGGTTCTGTTAAGACCTTTTGCTTGTCCTCCAGCCTTAGGAAGGCTTCTGTATATTCACCCTTCATTGGATGGTTAATAAAACTTCTCATTTGAAAAAAATCATAATAACAACAACCTTAAAAAGCTACTTAGAATTATTTGAGTTGTCTTTTTGTTTCACGTGAAGGATTAAGTGATTGTTATGAAGTTGAAGATAGAGGAAGTGGAAGAGGAGTTCTGACTTCTGGGTCCGTCGGGCAATAGTTTTATGCTACCAGCAGTATTTGTCTTCCTTTTCCTGAAACTAATTATATATAGGTCAAGAATTCTATATTTTTCCTTTTCCTTTTATTATTATATCGTAAAAAAGAAAACAATAGCCGGTAGAATGTGAATCAGACTTTTCTGTATTATCAAATTGTTAATTTTAATTATTAAAAAATTCAATTTTTTAAACAAACTTTCAGTAAATTAATAAAGATATATATATATATATATATTAAACTACCTATTCGGCTCTATTATGAGAAACCAATTAATCTAATTCGGGACTTAATCATAGCTAAAACTCTTAAGAGTTTTTTTCACATGACCAATTTACCTTATTAACTCAAGCCACGAGAATTGAAAGCTTTATTGTTTAGTTGCCTTCCGCAATTTGTAATGTGTGGATAGTGGAAGATTATAATATAAGAGAATAAATAAGAAAAAAAAATATTGTCTTCTAATCTTTCTCATTTGACAACTAAAGATGTGGAATTGCACTTTAGGCAAGGTGGGTCCTTGGACCCACTCTAATAATTTAAGATTCCCACTCTTGTTATTTATAGGGCTAACCCTAGTTAAGTAAAACTCTTTGAATTAACTTTTTTTTTTTTTTTTCTTTAAGGAATTTGAATTAACTAATAATTTAACATATTTTATTTAATTTAATTTTTTCATTTTAATTTGGTTTTTATTCAGTTTACTTTCATTCAGTTTGATATCAAATATTCATCCCTAATTTTATATATACATGTATATATGTGGGATTTCATTAGTTAAAATTAGTAACTAAAGATTAAATGTAGTTGTCTAATAATATTATACCGAGAAATATGTAAGTATGTTATAGTGTTACTAATAACATAATCACATATTATCAAGTTTTGGGGGATAATTAGATATATATTTTTTAATTATGTAAGTATGTTATATTATTTTTTTATTTTTATGATTTAAAAATAAAAATAACTGGGAATGTCTCGTGACTCATCAGATGTTTGTTTTTTGTTTTATTTTATAAACTTTTGATTATATAAATAATTATAAATTGATCCTAAGGAATTGTAATTTCGCACGACGACGTAGCTTTCTAGTCACATGATTACATGTGATTTCATCCCTTTGGATCTTGGACATACTCCATCAATCCCTTCAAAAACTATTCTCTTTTGAGATCAACCCGATTTCCAAGATTTGATTTTCTATTCCACACAAGAAATTGAAGAGATGTGTAAATTCTATAATAATTTTGTAACGTTATAATTATCATTTATTTAAATGAATTTTTCTGAATATTACTCTTTACATTTAATAAAATGGATTTTGAAATAATTGGAGAAGTCATAGAGAAAGTGACAAACCTCTTAAATTGAGATGATGTAAATAACAATTCCATGCTAGGCAGAGGAAACTTTTTGGAACAGCAAACCCAGCAGAAGACATCTTAAATTGTTTGGATACAAATTAGGAATTTGAAGTGGTAAAGTACAGTAATGGGCGACAATAAAAACTCTGGTGCTGTAAATAAATTCATCATACAAATATGAAATTTTGAAGGGTTCATGTCCCTTTCAAAGGGCAAAAACTGAAGGAATATATGCAGTGGCGAGTGGACCAGGTTTCATATTATGGGTTGCCTCATAATGCTTGAAGATGAACAGACAATGGTCCCCTATCCTCCTCCTGTCTCTCACATTTGACGTATACCCTACCAAGTTGAAGGTAAAAAACAAGCACATGTACATGTAACTGGACACGTGACTTGTTTAAATCCTTTTGGTTTTTCTTGTTTTACAGTGGACAAAAAATTGGGTGTCATGTGAGATTTTTTATTTTACTGCTAAATTCTATGGACATAGTGGTCCCTTATTTAAACGACAAGAAGCAATCATCAATGCGAAGATTCGTTTGCCCTTTTCTCATTTGTTTTCACTTTCATACAGCATTAAAAGGATTCCTAGTAAAATAAAATAAAATAAGCATAGATGGCCATGTTTGAGAAAAAAAAAAAAAAAAAAACCGTATACCCTAATCAAAGTTGAAAGGTAAAAAAAAGCACATGTCATGTAAACTGACACGTGACTTGTTTAAAATCCTTTTGGTTTTTCCTTGTTTTACAGAGTGGACAAAAAAATTTGGGTGTCCATGTGAGATTTTTTATTTTACTGCTAACATTCTATGGACAGTAGTGGTCCCTTATTTAAACGACAAGAAGCATCATCAATGCGAAGATTCGTTTGCCCTTTTCTCATTTGTTTTTCACTTTTCATACAAGCAATTTAAAAAGGATTCCTAGTAAAAATAAATAAATAATTAAGCATAGATGGTCCATGTTTGGAGAAAAAAAAAAAAAAAAGTAACATTTAGGCATGTTGGGCTAGAAGTGGAAAGATGTGGCCTAAAAAAAAAAAAAAAAAAAAGAACATTTACATGTTGGGCTAAAGTGAAGAAGTGGGCCTAAATAGAATATACAAGGTTTATACTAGGCCCAGAAAAGCCCAATTTCTCCATGTCCAAGGACCCGTAAAAATATTGATTTTAGAACCTAAAATGGCATATCCCAAGGGAAAGAATCAAACATGATTGTCAACTTGCAGCTCAATCGAAGACCAAAATTCTATATACAAGTGAAAAAGAGAATGTAACACTAGAACACAATAGCAAAAATTTGCAACTTAAAAAGATAAAACAGCTTTGTTTTTTTAATCTTTGCTGATGTGAATTGCTAAATGACATCTGAGAGAGTTGGACAAAAGCGTAAAACCGACTCCTAGACAAACATGGTCGAACGTCGAAAGTAGGAATGAGAAGAGGGTGAAAATAAGTAGGGGCTGAGAACGCAATATAAACACAACTTTTTTTAATGTAAGAGGCCTTGAAGCCCAGACTAAGTTAGACAAAAGCCCATATGAATGTAGGAAATATTTAGCTACAGACAGGTGTATGGGCCATCCATACACCTAACGAATTACAAATAGTATTTCGGATTAAAAGAGGGCATTTCTCATCCTAAAATAGGCATAAAAATGACAAAGCAGTAACATTTATTTATTTATTTGATTGGCTTGGTGTGTAGAACAATCCATACACCAATCAAACAAATTGATTTCAAATTTTGCTCTTGTGAGCAAAAGATTATACATTAAAAATATTATATATTTCTTAATAATAAATTTAAAATTTAAATATGAGGATTTCTAATTGAATTTATATATTATCTTTAGTAGTATTTGTCTTTTTTATTAAATTTTGATATTGAAATATAATTTTTATTTTTAATAATAGATGTAAATATTAGTCATAATTAATTAAATTAGTCATTTAATATTATAAAATTTTATAATCTAATTGTAATATTATTATAATTTTACAGTGACACTCTTCATTCCACCTAACAACCCAATAAAATCATACCTAATAGTTAAGGCAAAGATGATTTACATATGACCCTTTTAATTTATAACATCTTGGAAACTATGAAATTTCTTACTTGAATAATAAAGAAACGTTAACCAAATATAGACAATTAGCCTACTAATTAAAGAGAAATAAATTTCTTATAAAGTGACAGTTGTAATTAAATATAGAAAAATCTATCTGTACTTGACAACTCTAGCAGCATGGTATATTTCTACGTAACAAACTA